CCCCACTGAAGCCAGAGTCCAGGCCGGGGGAGGCTTCATGACCTCCAAAGGGGGGCGCCTGGGATATTCTGACATTGGGCCAACGCAGACCTGGGCGAAGCGAGGCTCCGGAAAACCCCAAGTCCCGCCTCCCCAATTGCCTGCCCTGCCTCGGACCCACCCGGGCAGGCGGCTGCAGGTCGTCGGGAGTCTCAGTCACCAAGGGAGTCGGGAGGGCAGCCTCGGGGCCTGGCCAAGGCAGGTCTCCCCCGTCAGCAGGAAGCACAGGGCGGTCCAGCTGCCCCTCCAGCCCCTCCCTGCAAAGCCCCTGCCCGGGGACCGAGGGAGTGAGCAGAGGGAAGGCGAGGCCGTTGCCATACGGTCACCTCGTGGAAAAAGGAGACAAGGCGTGGCGTCCGGGCCCTGCGTCCAGGCCGGCCTCCGAGATGCTGCGTGCGTGCGTGGCCCTCGGCCCTCCCACGAGACCTGGCGGCGGCGGGCACCATCCATCTGGTCCCTTAGTCCCCCAGGAGAAAAGGACAGCAATGCCCCAGGAAGGGCGGTGTGCCAGGGAGGTGGCAGACACAAAACTGAATTCGCCCTGGAAGCGGATCTCATGTTCCCGTGTCCCTGTGAGACCGGCCGCCCCGCCGTGCCCACTGGAGGACTCCAGCCTCACCCCCTGCAGGAGGCCCCACACGAATGTTCCTGCCTCTGTCGGCCAGGAGCCCGCCAATCTTCCTTCCATGCTTGAAAACAATTTTTAAAAATGTATTCTTATTGGTTTCAGAGAGGAAGGGAGAGGGAGAGAGACAGAGAAATATCCATGATGAGAGAATCTTTGCTTGGCTGCCTCCTCCCTCTCCTCCTATCGGGGATCGAGCCCGAAACCTGGGCGTGTGACTTCAAACCGTGACCTCCTGGGTCAAAAGTCAGTGCTCAACCCCCGAGCCACGCGGGCCGGGCTGGAGTGGGCTGGTCTTTAGTCTTCACTCTTGGGATTCTTGTCTTTCTTCAGTTCAGGGACTTGCTCACCTGGGCTAGGGCCACGCCCTCTCACCTGGGCTAGGACTACCCTCTCACCTGGGCTAGGGCCACGCCCTCTCACCTGGGCTAGGGCTACCCTCTCACCTGGGCTAGGGCCACGCCCTCTCACCTGGGCTAGGGCTACCCTCTCACCTGGGCTAGGGCCACGCCCTCTCACCTGGGCTAGGGCCACACCCTCTCACCTGGGCTAGGGGCACGCCCTCTCACCTGGGCTAGGGCCACACCCTCTCACCTGGGCTAGGGGCACGCCCTCTCACCTGGGCTAGGGCTACCCTCTCACCTGGGCTAGGGCCACACCCTCTCACCTGGGCTAGGGGCACGCCCTCTCACCTGGGCTAGGGCCACACCCTCTCACCTGGGCTAGGGCCACACCCTCTCACCTGGGCTAGGGGCACGCCCTCTCACCTGGGCTAGGGCTACCCTCTCACCTGGGCTAGGGCCACACCCTCTCACCTGGGCTAGGGCCACGCCCTCTCACCTGGGCTAGGACTACCCTCTCACCTGGGCTAGGGCCATGCCCTCTTGCCTGGGCTAGAAGGGATTCGCCCCAATGAGCACCCACAGTGCCTGGAAGGTGGTGTTGAGGTCGGGCTACAATGAAGCCACATCTCCCAGGCCTGTCCCGGCTCATCGGGCCAAGGCCAGGTTTTGCTGGAGGCAGGAGGGTGCTTCCATGGGTGACATCCAGCTCCTCTCGGGCCTCAGGAAGGCGCTGGGCTGTGAGCTTCTCAGGTAACAGCTGCCGCGTTTAAGCACAGACTCGAGAGCGCAGCATCTCGGGGGCCGCACAGGCCGGACTTACCGTGTGGTTCCGAGCGAGGGACACCTCCGTGCCGTCCTGCAGGTAATGCGTTTCCGTGAAACCGCTGGCAATGAGGCCTCTGCGGGGAGACAGGACACGCTGAGTGCAGAGTCTGCTGAAGGTGCCTGTGCATGTCTAGGCCGCAGACAGCCAGGGTCTGGCCCCCACCCGCCTTGTCTCCCAGGGGGCCCCGTCTTCCTGAGGCCCCCAAAGGACCTCCCCATGTGTGGCTGTCCGGGGAGACGCAGGCAGGAGAGGCAGACTGTCAAAAAGTTACCCCCAGATTGCTCTCTTAGACCAATCTTGCCATGCTTCTGCTCTACGTTCTCCGGTGTATTTAGTTCCACAGCTTGGAGGAGATGGATCTCATCCATAGGACACTATTCCCCAAGCGCAGGAGACGGGAGGAACACCCGCTCATCTCCCCTCTGGGGGCACTTTCTCCCCTCACCCCGGTCATGGACCCAGTTAACATCTCTCCGTTTCTCCCAGGACCGTTGCAAGCCTCCCCCCTCCACCTTAGTTCCTGCTGAGCTGCCTGCTCCCACCTCAGGTTGAGCAAAGGGCAGACGCTGAACCCCGAAGCCCAGCACCCAGGCCAACGTACTGCAACTGCTTAGTGAATGGGGGTGACAAACCCCGGACCAGCATCACAGAAAAGCAGCCCGACCCGGACAGCAGGCGCTCAGACTAACCGGATCCATTAAAAAGAGAGAAACTCGAGAAACTCGCTGCAAAGCTGCTGTCCCCGGTGGCGGAGGGGATGGGGCACAGTCATGCTCCCGCGTCCTTACTCCAGGACTTTCTGATGCTGTTGGTGCCTCGAGACCAAGCCCGACGGTGAGGCCTCCATCTCAGAGCCACTTAACTGAGGGCAACGGGCGGGGAAGCCCGAGGTCGGCGCCGATTACTTACAATATGGAAAGCTCACTCGTCAGGCGTCAACTTTTCCCTGTCATTTCCTTGAAGACCATGCGTACGGTCTGAGGGCCGGGTTACTCTGTGCGGCTTATTCACGCAAAGGCCCGGGAGACCGCCCGAGTTTGTCAATTACACCAGCAGGCACCCTTGGCGATGAAGTCACGCTCCAGGGCCCCCCCCCCGGCCACCCCCGCACCCTAACGCCAGCAAAACCGTTTGGTATTCACAGGACACAAGCCCGTGTACTGCTGAAGATTGCTCCCCCACCAGCCATTATCCCACAAATGCCCACGTCACCCTATACAGATGCGGGCAGCGGTTTTCTCCTGCGGGAACTTGGAAATTCAGCTGCGATATGTTCGTATGAGGAATACGTTGCCTGGAGCAGCCACAGACACAGCACGCAATGCAGAGCCGTAATTAAAACGCACGAGGCACTACGCCGAGTCCCTGAGGTAAATGCTCTCTATTAACACGCTCCATTCCCCCACCAGAGCCAAACAGATGCGGACAAGACGAAAGGCAACTCGGGCCGGCCCCAGGCCGATGCGTCCCACCCGAGCGACCTCACCCTGGCTTCCCGTGAGGGCGCCAGACCCTGACCCACGGCTCCGCACGCCGACACCACGGGCTCTCGCACTGTTTACGGAGAGATCGGACGGGGACGACTCTGTAGAGACAGCACGTTGAGGTCTGAGGCAAGAGGAGGAAACGAACAACCAGGGAGAGAACGGAGACCTGGGATTGTCTCCACCTCAGCCTGCAGACCCCCTGTCATCGCTCGATCTTTGCACGTATTCATGCTGTTTGTTCTCCTCCTGGGAAAGTCATGCTGGTAACGAACTCACGCTCCAGGCTCTTGATCTGGGGAGTGGGAGCCAGGCACCGGCACGGCCACCGTTCCTGTCGTGTCCCTTCCCCAGCCTTGCCCCTGCCTCCAACTCCCGCGGCTGCTGGCTCAGGGTGTCAGGCCCCGGGACATCTGCTTTGAAAGTGCATTTTCTTCTTCTTAAGTCCTCACCTGAGGATATTTCTCCATTGATTTTTTTTAGAGAGAGTGGAAGGGGAGAGAGAAGCCTCGATGTGAGACACATCGATTGGTTGCCTCCCACAGGAGCCCTGACCAGGGTTGGAGATCGAGTCTGCAACCCAGGTACGTGCCCTTGACCGGAATCGAACCCGAGACCCTTCAGACAGGGGGTCAATGCTCTATCCACTGAGCACACCGCCCAGGGCATCAGGTACATTTTCTTAATTTACTTGGCACAGACCCTGTGGTTGTCACCTGTGTGACAAGGGAGAGGGAGCTACTCAAAGAGGTTGAGTGACTTGTCCAAAGCCACACAGCCGAGCCGGTGGAGACTGAACGTGGCTCCATTTGGCTCCAAAGTCGGCCACACCCTGGCCGCTGTCAGCACAGCCTGCCGGGAGGACATGTGAGCGCAGGGTCTGGAGCGTCCGGAGACAGGCAGCAGCCAGGCCTCTGCCCCTTCTCCTGGAATTACTTCTTCTCAGTGCAAAACGGGGCGTACGCTGCTCCTCTGCGCACTCGATTCGATTTCGCTGCCAAATTCAAACTGTCTCTGATGATAACGTCCGCGTGTTGGGACCCGAACTGTGCAGACCTGTACATCTGCGAGCGCAGCGGAACAGTTCCCCTCGTTGTCTCTTGTTATTCTCCGTTTTCTAACATTCTCGAAATGATCAAAACAACGATTTCCCCCTGGAATTAAAACAACAACAACAACAACATGTTCCCTTTCCCCAGCTCTTTCTCATTTAGTTTCACAAACTATAATAAATAAAACTGTGGATACAGCATTTTGGAGACTGTAGGGGACAATTGTGTTCCCTGCACAATAATTTCGTAATATACTGCTTCCATTTTAAGTCACGAAGACAGAGTTTTGGCTCGAATCGCGTGGCACTTACACGGGAGCTTGTTCCTCTCGCCGATGACCCCGCCCGTTCAGGAAGCGCACAGATGACAGCCGCCGACGCCGCCGCAGCTGCTGGAGGGCTGACTGGTCCATTGCGTTTTCCAACCGAAACATAGAAACAGGTGGAAAGTGAGGGGCTCTACGCAGGCCTGATGCTTTGGGCTACTTTCTCCCTTTTTTAATGATCTTCTGTCTCCTCAGCCCTGAGGTGAGGGCCTGGAACCCAGCAGGTGCTCACCGGACAGTTTTTGAAGGAGTGAAGCGATCAGGAATGGAAAGATACAGGCCATACAGGGTGACTGATGTCACACATGGCAAAACAGGCCTCTGGGCCATGGGAACATCTCTATAAGCATCACACCCTCAACATTGTAAAACTGGTTAAAACCACGCGGGGGGGGGGGGGGGATTGGTTTGTATGACTGAAGCTCTAATCCGTTCCCCTCGGGAAGTCTTCCGACTCATCTGCTGTCCCCCTCACGGGAGTGCATTCTAGCAAAGCTGCCGGCCTCGGACAAGGACAAGCTCACAGCCCCAGGCGAAGGGTTAGCGCTTCCTCCTCCACGTGGCTTCGCTGCTAAGTGCTCAGGCCGCCCGGGCGCCCGGGAGAGACGGTGCCCGCTCCACACACCCGGCCCAGAACGTCCCTTCCCTTCTCGGGACAAGCTGTGGCCAGAAAAAGGCAAACATTATCCAATCTTTCTGGCTTCCAGCCTCGGATCTGTTTCTCAGCTGACAGCACTGTGGTTTCTTTCTTTTTCTTTCTTTTTCTTAAAGAGAATACTTCCTAGAGAGAACCGGGACCGGGACTCAGATGGGACCTACGGTTTCATGTCCACACGGCAATCCCGCACGCGAGCCTGGGAACCGGGGTGACGTCATGGGCCCACCAGCCTCGGGCTCCAGAAAGGAGTTCTTCATTAGGAGCTGAAACCCTCCCTGTGTCTGCGGGGGAAAAGGGCAAACTGTGTTGGGGAGGAGGAAGGTACAACGTAATGATTTAAAATGCAATTTACCGGCTCCGCCTCAGCGATCTCTCCTAATAGCTCCAGGGAAAAGCACTCTCCTCGCCTGCATGCTTATTGGATTAGTCAGCACTTCTCGGGAGGTCGGGAAGCAATGACGTGTCCTGCCCCTTAGGAGACCGGGACGGGGATGAGACGGGAAGATGGAGACAATGTCAAGTTCACGCTCTTTTCTGCTCCTGGAGGCTGGACACGGCCCAAATGAAACAACCACATTTTACCTCCCCGGGGGTCACAGCCCTGCTTGGTCCGGGACTCGTGACGATGGGCCAGTCCCGGGGAATTACCATTCGTCTGACTGGGGGTGACGATGGCCCTGCAGTCTCATAAGACAATGTTCATATTTTAGAAATGCATGCTCATGTGTGTGTGTGTGGGGGGGGGGCGGTGACATGATGAATGACTCTGAGGGGGCCGCATCAATAAAAATATATTAAAAAGAAAAAAGAAACAGCCACACAGACCAGCACATCGCTTCCCAGGGACCCACAGCCAAAGCGAATGGGGCGGCGTACAGGGGAGGTGGCGTCTGCACACACAGAGAGGACATCACTGACCCCGAACCCCGCTCCGGGCATGGAGGCCACCGCAGCTCGCCCTGGCCCGGCCCGCCTGCGCGTGGGGCAACGCTACAAATTCTTCTTCTTATTTCATCGTAACAATAACAATTACTCAGAAAAATAAAAACCAAAACAAGCAACCCACTGGAACACCGAGAGGAGATTCCTCCGGGTTTTTATTTTAAACACATGTTTCTAAAGAGGCCGCGAGCGGTGCCAGGAGCTCAGCGTCGGGTCTGCGTGCCTCTGGCTGTGTCCGCGCTTTGCCTGGGAGACGCCTGTGAGTGCCCCGGGTTCCTGCTTTCTCATCAGAAACGACTGCGGGCCCAGTGGTTGAGCCTCGACCTATGAACCAGGAGGTCAGGGTTCGATTCCCGGTCAGGGCACAGGCCCGGGTTGTGGGCTCCATCCCCAGTGGGGGGCGTGCAGGAAGCAGCACATCAATGATTCTCTCTCATCATTTGATGTTTCTCTCTCTCTCCCTCCCTTCCTCTCTGAAATCAATAAAAACACATTAAAAAACAAACAAAAACAACAACTACTGAGGAACAGCACAAGGAGTTACGAGGCATAACCAGCTATTTCCCCGCTCGGAGTGTGACGCTGACACCGTGACCTTGGACTTGGGGTGTC